ACAAATAGATGTCAGGGTATCTGTCTGTGATCTAAAACTCAAAAGAAGTTGAGCAATGCAACATGACAATGATCCAAAACACAGGAGTAAATCAACAACAGAGTGGCTCAAACAGAAGAAATTCTGTATTTTAGAATGGCCAAGTCAGAGTTCTGACCTCAATCCCATTGAGATGGTGTGGCGTGTTCTGAAGCAGGCCATTCAAACTAGATATCCCAAAAATATACTGAAACAGTTTTGTATACGGAATGGGCCAAAATACCTGATCAGCAGCCACAAAAAGCATTTGGTTGAGGTTATTGCCAATAAAGGAGGTTCCACTAGTTACTAAATTTAAGGGTTCACATACTTTTTCTGTCAATGACCTTGATTGTACTGTCACGGGATCTACAAGGTTAATTTCCACCTGGAAGCAGGTACCCCCTATATATCTTGCATTTTATTGGAAAACATGTATAGAACAGGCCTTGTAGAGAGTCTGAATTTAAGGTAACCCATTGGGTATCAAGTCTGATCCATCAAAACCTTTATATCCCTGACCCAGTAAACACCCTAGAGTTGAAAATGCAGAAGAAAACCAAAAACACAAAACGCTTTTGTTTTTTCTATTTTCCATAGTCAAATTTTGAAGTTATAGCATTTGTAGGTAACTATACCTTTGTTCAGGCCTTCTCCAATACGTCTAGAACTCGTATAAAAATCTCGCATAAAAATCTGAGACTTGTGATAAACAGTCAAAAATCTCTGCGTGGGTTCTTACACAACCAAACCCTCTCCAAACTGAATTTGTGCCAATATTGGTGGCCAACCATACCTGGGTTTTATGAACAAACTTTAGTAGGGATGTCATTTTCTGTTATTTCAGATATTGTACTTTGCATAAACATTACAATTCTCAATCACCTTATTTTCCTTTACAATCCAAAGTGAAAACATATCAAAAGGAAAGACATGGAGACCTTTTTATATGATGGTTTTACTACATTCTCAAAACAAAAAGTGTCAAAAAAACAAGAAATGTAAAAACTGAAAAACTGAAGCAATTCCTATCAACAATTAGACACAATGCTACATCACACCTTGCACATTTCCATGGAGTTTTTCTCTTTATGTTTTTTTTGCGCAGACAACACATCTTCCACCCTATCACTGCCTTCCTTGAAAGGTCCACCACCCGCCCTTGGGAGATTGCATTAGGAAAACAGGCTGCAGCTGTGCTTGTTGATGCCTCCTGTTTTCCTATCGCAATATCCTCAACCCCCACACTACCAAGCTCCTCTCTGAATTTTTTGAGTCAGAGCCTGAAAGCTTCTTTGTGTAGCAAAAAACCATTCACCACTGCAACGTCAATGAAATGAAAGTACAGTTTTTTGTATCATTTTCTAGTTTTGTAGGTCAAATTATAGTATTTTATGAGAGCATCAGACAAATCCACACCCCCATGTGCCGACTGTAGTCCTTGACGGTGTCAGGGATAGGAATGGCCTGAACCCATCAAGACCCGTTGTGTTTTCTTACCCTGGGCTGGACCGTCTCTCCACTGTATGCCTTGTGGATGGTACTACACATGGTCACCTCACATGTGTCCATCCACTTGGTGGTTCTTGGTAGTTCACCACACCTTATCCAGTGCAAGGTGCCCCTTTCAACCTTTTTAGGGAGGGTGTTTTGTTTTGTGCGGGGGAAACCCACATGGTTCTCTCTTATAGCGCCACAGGCGCCAAAATTAATTTTGAATAGATCTCGGAAAAGGGCTGAGCTGGTTAAGTAATTATCTACATAAACATTATGACCTGTACGCAGGTATGAAACTCTGACTGAGTCATAGCTCAGTCCTTTTCCTGTGGCAGAGGGTGATTTTCCTGTGTAAATTGAGAAGTCACAGGTATATAGCAGCCATATCACCCTGCAACTCACAACTGGCAACCCACTAAAGCTAAGCAGGTGTGAGCCTGGTCAGTACCTGGATGAGAGACCTCCTGGGAAAAACTAAGGTTGCTGCTGGAAGAGGTGTTAGTGGGGCCAGCAGGGGGCGCTCACCCTGCGGTTCATGTGGGTCCTAATGCCCCCAGTATAGTGACGGGGACACTATACTGTAAACAGGCGCCGTCCTTCGGATGAGACGTAAAACTGAGGTCCTGACTCTCTGTGGTCATTAAAAATCCCAGGGTGTTTCTCGAAAAGAGTAGGGGTGTAACCCCAGCGTCCTGGCCAGATTTCCCATTGGCCCTTACCAATCATGGCCTCCTAATAATCCCCATCTCTGAATTGGCTTCATTACTCTGCTCTCCTCCCCACTGATATCTGATGTGTGGTGAGCGTTCTGGTGCACTATGGCTGCCGTCGCATCATCCAGGTGGATCCTGCACATTGGTGGTGGTGGAGGGGAGTCCCCATTACCTGTAAAGCGCTTTGAGTGGAGTGTCCAGAAAAGCGCTATATAAGTGTAAGCAAATATTATTATTATAAACTGTGGAAGCATCAGCAAGCACAAACAGCGTGAAGTCCCACTTAGTGGGCTTCCCCTTCATATACTGCCTGAAGCCTATTCTTGTCTTTGAGGCTACCATTCTTTCATCAACAGACAGATTCCGTCGTGGCTGATAAAACGATTGACGGGCAGTTAGGATGGAGTCTAACAGAGGTCTAAAGCAGAAAAGGGGATCATAGTCCGGGGTCCCTTTTTTTAGGCAAGTTTCCCTGTCCTCCTCTGGATCACTAAGGTGTAGTGTCCAGGAAATGGTCTCAAATCTTGTTCGGGTCATAATTGACTGGCAGAAAGGAACATCATAGGGCACCCGAGGACTCCAATAATCTCTCATATTATGAGAAGTGAGGAGCCCCATAAAAATCATAATCTCTATATAATTATACGTCCACTATGGACACCGGCTGCCACTCTGATTTTATACCCCATGCCTTTCGTTTGATTGCATTGTTTGTGTTATTACACAGTGTGCACATAACCGTCATGCTAAAAAACAGCTGGAACAAATCTAGTGGGGAGTATGTCTTCAGGTGGGGGGGGGGCTTCTGCTCTTCCTGCCCCAAACAGGTCTTGTGGGCTGGGGTGGAGTGCTTCTGGAAGGAGGAGTGGGAATCTTGCACCCTTTCTTTGGCCGAGGAACCTCAGCACTTGTTGAGGGGGCGGAAGGGGGCAGGTGGTTCTTTGATGTCCTCACTGAAAAAAAAGGAAATTAGAGATAAATACTGAAACTAGGAATGAGTTTCATTATTTTATTACTGACCAATAGCCTTTGTTGCTAGGTGACAAAGTTAAGGCAATAGGATAGCACTCCACATGTGTAATGATTGAGCTGCAGACCAAGGCCTTGGAGAATGAGCAAATTTTGCCTGGCTGTAATTGCAGATGAGTCTGTTTATTCACACTTTAGTGCCAGGAATGACCAAGGAACCCCTTCGATCTTCTAAAAAAAACTCAAATATGTAATATAAAAACTCACAGAGAATAGTGATTTATAAATTTAATATGTCTAAAAACTTTATGAAGACCGAGACGCAAGAAGCAGCAATTTCAGATGTTTACAAATAGTCAACAAGGAAACATAAAAGATTTTTTACTCGAAACTATAATAGCCAAACTTTAGGTCTTGTCTGTGTTGTCCAAGAGACTCTGAAGGATCACCTTCCAATATTTGCAGTAAAAAAAACCATGCAAAGACTTTTTTTCCTTGCAGACAATATTTGCAAACCTTATATTTCTTTGTTTCCAATGAGACTCAAAAAGACAATTTTCTCATATTTACAATATACATTTCTCAGTCTCATATATACAGATAACTTTTGATATAAACATCAATAACAACTTTAGAACTAATAATAGCAAAGGTCTGGATTATATAAATAAAAATACTCACAAATCCAGCAGTGGATCCAGTCCTTCATCAAAGGCATCTTCAGAAAAGGAATTCGCGCTGACCAGACCTGACTGCATATCCGACTCTTCTCCCGACTCTTTTCCCAGATACATTTCTTCAAGTACCAGAGCAACCGTAGTCTTTTTCGCTTTTTTCAGTGCCCTGCTTGCCATTTTTTACTTTTTTTGGCTAAACCCAAAAAAAGAAAAGGGAAGATGCGCTCCTTTTTATTTGGTTTCAGACCGCTCCAACTTATCATTGGGCAGCTTAAGACCCACCCTAAATTTCTAGTGGTCAAAATTCACTGATTGACAACCTTTTCCACAAATTAAAGCAGCAAAAAGACAGAGAAACTGTTGCGTTATTTGAAAGCTACAAGATTTGACAGCTCTTGAGGGATGTATTTTTTACAAAAACTTGGCTGGATGGTCAAGTCATGGATTCCTTCGTTTTTTAACAGTAAGAATAATGGTTTTTCATATTTTGGCAAGATTCGGCTTTCTAATTATGTTTTCATTGTAAAAAAGTAGAATGCGCAACAAGTTTATTTATTTGAGCACATTTTGTACGGTGTGGCACTGAGGAAAATATTTTTTTTATGTACATATTCCACAGTAACATTTGGATTTGAAATACATCTGAAATTTGAATTTTAGATTGTCCTTTATCATATGCTATAAGGTTTGTAGAGTTTTGTTTCGATTTTGCAGGTAAAAATTTATGATATTGACATGCTGTGCTGGCTGGGTGTTTTTATTGGGGTTTGTGCTAGTTCATTAATTTATTGGTTTATTGCACAATAGTGTCACAGCTGTGGAAACAAACTTTATGGTTTTGTTGTGATGATATTGGAGAATACTTGTGTGTAAGAAAATTTGTGGAGAGGTTTAAAAACAATGTTGTTTATCTTAAGGAAACATTAACTTAAGGCTGGTAGGTGCGGGGTCGCAAGGCACTAACAGTTTGTTCAATAAATATATGGCAATGTAAAATGTTGTTTGATAAATAAAACTGACTATTATGACTAAAATGAATATCAGATCACATTTTAGGAGCCATTCATGCATAAATCCAGATAATTCCAAAGTGTTCAAAAGCCTTTTCTCTAAACTGCATACTTACAAATCCAGCAGTGGGTCCAGTCCATCATTGAATACGTCTTCCGAGAACGAATCCGCACTCTCCAACCCTGAGAGCCCGTCATCCGACTCTGCTCCTGAATCCCCTTGAGAAATTCCTTCTATTACTTCTGGAACACTAAACATTTTTCTCTTCTGCCCCTTCTGGGCTTTACCTGTGTGATGTCAAAGGGGGAAGGTCAAGTCAATAATGACATATTGAAAAGATGTAAACAATAAAACAGAGTTCTCAAAAGATAGAGAAAACAAGCTCTCACCTTTTAGTACCAACACCACAGCAGTACCCGAGCTCCTTTAGTCATTTAACTAACCAAAAGTATTCCCATGTTAGTCTAAAGCTTATGGTTTTTATCTCCAAATGATCTCAAACGATCAAAAAATAATACACAATCCAATATTCATTCTTGTCAGATTGTCCACAAAGTTCAAAAGCACAAGGGTTCTTTCCTTTGTTTTCATACGGTTGTTGTGCCAAAAAAAGGCATCAGCTGAGAGCTTGTGTGTTGAAAGTCGTCTTTATTTCATATGCATACGGAAGTCTTGTGTCCCAACGCAAGACTTCCATATGCATATGAAATAAAGACTACTTTCAACACACATACTCTCAGCTGCTGCCCTTTATTTTTGCACAACAATTTTGGCCCTGCTTGCAGCAAATGTTTTGATTAAAATGTGACAAAACCTAATTTTATTTTAGTCCATTGAAAGTAAGACTGATTATAGTCCAAATTCATTCAGTCAACTAGAATACATTAAATGTGTTCAAGTAGGTAGCTGTGTCAGTATGCGTAGGCTGCAAAGGAACAAGTTTGATTAAATGAAGGTGATTAGAAAGTGACTATGGCCAATAAGTCTCTATAATTGACATAACTAAGACTATGACTAAATCAAAAACTGCAGACTAGATTAACACTGAAAGACAGTCCCTGCATTTTCATAGAACATGGTCTTAGTATTATCACTACCGGGCTGTAATCTTTGCTGTTGTCTTTCCTTTACCAGTTCCTACCAGTACTGACCTTTCTTTGTGTGCTGTAACCAAGTACTGTTGTCTTCACCAGATTCATCATTCTCCTTCTCTGCATGGTCAATCAACTGGAGCTCCATGTTCTGCTCTGTTACTTTAAACTCATTCACTTCTTCTTTGATCTCTTGTGCAAAGGCAGAGGTCAGTTCATTACAATTTTCAGCAATATTTACAGAGTCCAGATTATCAATCTTCTCTGTAAATTTCTTAGATACTAAGGGATTATTCAATTGTTTAAACCACCTCTGCGATGACAGTCTCTTCACTTTAACAGAACATGGCCTTGATATTATCAAACCTTGTAGTTGTCGCTGTTGTTCCCCCCTGTACTGACTCTTCTCTGTGTGCTGCTCAGTGATGTTCTCTTCACCAGTCTGCTGCTCTTCTGTATATACCAACTGGAGCTTCATATTCTGCTCTGTAAGATTAATGTCATTCGGTTCTGCTTTAAGCTCTTGTACAGACACAGACTCCATTTTATCACAACTTTCAGTAATCTTGTTAGAGACCAGATTAATCTTCTCTGTAAAATCATCAGACACTAAGAGCTCAGGTGTCTCACTCTCAGGCTCTGTCTTTAGCATATGCACAGAGTCCAGATCCTCGACACTCTGTCTGCTCTCTGTGTGCTGTTCACCGAGTTTCTCTTTCCCTTTTGCAGCAGTGAGCTCTGTCAGAATGGAGCCCCACTCCTCCTCACTGTCCTGCTGTTCAAGAGGAGCCCCTTCCCAAGCATCAGGGAGATCACTGGCCTCTGACCCTGCAAACACAGGACAAGAGAACATGACTTTTAACATGGGCTGAGAGTAGTGCTCAGAAGGAAATAATACTCACACAAAAGAAGATTAAAATTTAAATTAGAGAGCAAAGAAATCAAAGCTCATTTTCAGACATGGTATATGCCACAAAGTCAAACACACTTAAGCTGTCTGAACACAGATAATGTGAAAGGAACTGGAAGTAATAATTATAAAATAAAAAAAAAACAGATTTAATCCAAGTCTCTGTCCTGGTAGGTTCTGAATCCAATAGATCCAATAGAGCGAGAGGGTTAACACAAACACACTGACTAGACACTACATTACATTAACACTGCACTGAGAGAGAGGTTAAACACACAATATTCGATCACATTAAGAGCACAAAGCGGAAAGAAAGGAGGAAAAAACAAGGAGAAGCAGAGAGAAGAGAGAGGAGTCAGGAGGAGTTGGGACTTGAAGTTTGTGCCAAGCGAGAGCTCCTACTTCATGATCATCCAAAACAAACCTGACTGGGGCCAAGTATTTGAATCTTGCTAGAGAGAGCATGTTATTCTGTGTTTTTAGGGAACTTCAGGTTTCTGGCTAAAGGATACATCAGTTAGAAAGATCTTTCCTGTTTAGGGTGCATTTTTATGGAAAGGGATATAGGCTCCCATAAGGGCTGGGTGATAATTCTATAACGATAATTATTGCAATATAATTCTCCTCGATATAATTAACAAAAGTTTGATAAATGTTAGATATATATATTTATGCTTTGCGCATGATATGCACATGCGCACAAAATACTGGGCAACTAACATGGTGTTGTTTACCCACACGGTGGTGGCTGACAGGATTGTAGTTAAGAGTGAAGAAATGAGCAACACTGAAGCAAATGTAGTGCTGCCAACGACCAGCTCGAAGGACGATGACATCGTCGACAGAAAAGGTCATTCAACATTCATCACACTGCAGTATTTAATTTTTCTATTAAGATATTTAGTAAATTTTACTCATGCATATTTTGACATAAAAAAAGACTTGAATACTCTCTAACCTCAGATTTGTTTAATGTTTCTGCTGTTTGGCAAGTTTTTGTTCTGTTCTTAAAATAAAGAGTTGTTTAATTTACCAATTAACTGTCTGGTTTCTTCAACTTTCACTCAGGAGAAAAAATCTGCCTTTAAACTTGAAAGAAATAATGATTTGACATTTATCGTGATAATTATCGATATCGACTGATATGAAAATTTTTATCGTGATAATGTTTTTGGCCATATCGCCCAGCCCTAGTCTCATTTCTTGTGGCATCCAGGGTGCAGGGGGAGATTTAACTGCAGGTCGCATTGCATTTAGTTAGAAGGCAGCTTCTCTCTTGTGTGGCCTCCGTATGCATATTAAGAGCATTTAATATTAAGCATATTAAATGCTTAGTTGCAGTCAGGTGTTTTCGGTGTGACCAGAATGTTAGGCTTCTGAAACGCCTTGTTTGTAAATACTGTACATACTGTAACTTGCATGTTGCATGTTTTGTTGTGTGTAGTTTGTGGCTTGTCATTGTTACAAATATTTGTTTAAATACACGTGTGGATTATGACTCCTCTCACCAAAGCTGGCACAGAAGAAAATAGAGAAAATATTCACATGCCTCTAATCATACCAGCTGCTCAGGTATATTGCCAGAAAATACTTACTAGTTGAGGGTTTTGAACGTTTATTTTACTTATTGACTTAACTGCTCGGTTAATTCCTGATTTTCACTATTTTTGTAACAATACAGACACACTTACTGGACACTACAATACAATAACACTGCACTGAGAGAAAGGGATTAATACAGACACTGACTGATTGGACACTACAGTATATTTACACTACACATGGGGGGGGGTTAAATGCAGGACTGTACTCTTTAAACCTATTTATATAAATGTTATATGCATAATCACAAGTAAAAATATAAAAATCTAAACAAATATAACGTAAATACCATATATATATATAATATATAGTCTAATGACGTCGGATTATACACTGATTCTGCAACTGTTGAATCTGAACGAGTTGTTTCTAGCACCATAACCGGACAACAACAGTTCAGTTTTCAGTAAAGAATCCTGTTGCTACATCACACAAGTCTTTCTCACTTCACTCTGCATCTCTCGACTATATTCTCACCTGTGACGAAGTTAAAGACACGTTTTTGAACACACACACTGACTTCACACAAGTCACTGCACTGACCTGACAGCTTCCGTTTCGTGTCCGTTTCTTTTATTTCTGCAGCGACTTCACGGGGAAGCGTGTGTCCAGCATGATCTGTCTGTCCCAGATCTCCTCCTGCTCCCGACTCCTTCTCCCACAACTGTAATCTCCACTTCAGGCTCTCGTTTTCCTTCTTCAGAAGCGCCATTTCACTCCCGAAACTGTCCTCCACACACTGTGTGATTTTAAATACGGCCCGCCTCACCAGAATCTGGGAGATGCTGTGGAGTTTGATTTGAAATTCGTCCTCAGACTCACACATTTTGTTTCGGAAAACTTCTGAAACTTCATACACGATCGATTTGAGTAAAATCTCTATGAAAGAATGAAGCTGTGTTTGCAGATTTAACAAGAACTCCGCCATCCTTCTTCAGAGTCGGTCAGAAGCAAACGCTTGCGGAGTTTAAACACAAGAACTTTGTTCTTTTTTTATCAACACAACCGGCTAGACGTCATTACGTCAGGTTCACGAGGAAAAAGGATTTCTTTTAGTAATTCAGGCTTTTTCTTTATGATTTGGCTAAGGCAACAGATTCAATTACTACCATGTGGGTAAAATATCCGCGCAGCATGATGACGTAATTCGTTAGTGCTGCAGCGGCTTCTAAAAGAGGAGTTTCTGCAACAAGATATAAACCTCACTGCACCTACTCTGCTAGTGCCACCTAACCAAGAAGACTGAATCACCTGTGAGTTACGTTGATCGTGTGTGTGAATTTCGTGCAATTGACAATTAATTTCCACGTTTTACTTACAGGACATACTAACTGATTAATGCAAGAGTTCATAAACTATTCTTAAATCGAAGCACGCATCTCTCATTATCTACTGCCCTCAATTTTGTGATAATAAAACGTCAAATACAATCTCTTGAATAAACGTTACTGAGCGCAGTTCGGGATCAGACAAGACACCAAAATTAGAACCATACGTGGCCGGTGTCGTATCGAATTCACTATATTGTGGAAATCGCTATCCCCTTTAAAAATGCGAATGTGCGTGCAGTGGAAATCAGAGGTATAATTTGTCTGCCTGCTCGTGTACATTTCCTAAGGTCTGTAGGAAACGCAATTCTAAATTTTAAGGTTTAGGTAAGTATTACAATTATTTGCATGCCTCGAACAAAAACAAAAGACTCACAAAAGCATTGTTTGTGTAGCGCCCCCGAAGAGGAAAATGATTAAATCAGTCACTCAACTCGTTGTTTCCTCATCAGTGGCTTTTAGTGCGAATCTATATAGAATGAAGTTTACAGTAATACATTATGAACAAAGAAAATAAGTTGAAAGTTAAAAATGCTTCTTAATTTTTTAAACGTAACGTTCACTGGCAATATAAATGCAATATCACTTTGCTTATTAATATGCAAAAAACACTAGAAAATATAGAAAACCAGGAACAGCGAGATAAAACTAAAGCTATTACCGAACATGAACTAATTTGCTAATCGCTAAAACATTCACATTTAACGTACCAAATACATTGCCTTTATGCTAACCACGAGGATTCGCGCTCCTAACTTTGTTCTAATAACTCAGTATGACTTAACAAATACATTCAAATATGACCGGAAAATACTTTTGCCATAATAACAAATAATTGATAACTGTTTTCTGAAAATAACAGTCGTGTTTTATACACTTTTTACCTGAAGAGGGAAATGATTAAATAAACTCAACTCGTTTTTCCTCATCAGTGGCTTTTGGTGCGAATGAGGAAAGGCAAAGGGAGCTCCCTCTCGCTGTATTTCACAGACAAAAGTAGTAAGTTACCTATCAAAACTGAATTTAGACTCTACGGGTAGATAACATATAAACAGATTGAACAAAATAACATCTCAGTGAAAACGATTTGAAATAACAACGTCCATTACATCCCATTACATTTGCGCCTAGTAAACACGCAATTCTGAATTTCAGGTTTACTTAAGTATTACAATTATAATAAATGAGGTGATAATCAGCAATTACGTCTTCCTATGAATTTTGTCTTCATGTGCATTACACAAACTAACTCATGGAGAGGAACCGAAATAAACATAAAAATACAGTTTGCTTTGTTTTTTTCTTTACCTAAAATATTTTATAGGTAGGCAGAAAAATTCACCTTAGCCATGTTACCTGCACACAATAGTATCCCCTTACATACGTCTCTGTCCCCAGGAGATACCCCAGGGATATGCTTCTCCACAGTGTGCGAGTGTGGAATCTGGAATCCCCTGCACATTTAGTGGCTGCTGCATCCCAAAAAGCTGCAATCTGTAACAGAAAAATGAAAATGGAGAAAATTTTTTGTTCAACCACCATTCAAGATGTCGATTCAAGATCTGATCTTGACAGACTGTCAGATAAAGATAGCAGTCATGTTACATTTTGTGAAAATACCATTATGTATTTGGAGTCTTGCACTACAGCACCTTATTAGGTGTTATTATAATTGTTAATACAATTATTGTTATTACAAGCCTTGAGTGAAGAAAATCTCTATAGTTGGCTCTGAACAGGAAAGAAAATCACTTTTCACCAAGGATATGCTGCACAGAGTAGGGAGGCTCAGAAGAATGTTAAAGCAGAGATTAGGTTACCAATCTCTGTTATAACATAAGAGTATAACGATTGTTGAGGATGAGACCAGTAAAAGTAAAGTAAATGATAACATCCCATCATGCGCTGCATCGTATGCTATCAAGTCAGTGGTGGGAATCCATAAGAATTGTGGCCGAAACATACAGTTGAAAAATCATAAAAGGGTTCCAAAGTAGTACAATGAAGTTCTGGCCAAACTAGTTACAGTTAGATGGAAAACGGTGCACAGAAGAGTTTATTAGAGCTAAAAATGATGTTTTGTGGCATGAAGCACATTTTTAATAATATCCAACTCAGTATGAAGTTATGGCCACACTAGTTACAGTGGCATGAAAAACAGTGCAGAGGAGCATTTATTTGAGCTGGAAATGATGTTTTGTGGCATTAAGCAAAATTGTAATAATATCCCACTCTGTATGAAGTTCTGGCCTCACTAGTTACAGTGGCATGTAAAACTGTGCAAAGGAGCGTTTTTTTAAGCTGAAAATGACGTTTTGTGGCATTCTGCACTTTGTCAATAATATCTGATTCTGTATGAAGGTGAAGCCACACTAGGTACATTTATATGTAAAACCATGGACAGCAGTGTTTATTTGAGCTACAAATGACCCTTTGTGGCATTCTGCGCACTGTTGTTAATATCTGACTATGTAAGAAGTTTTGACAGAATCTAGTTATAGTGGCATGTAAAACGGTATACAGGAGCATTTATTTGAGCTAGAAATGACGTTTTGTGGCATTCTGAGCATTGTTGATAATATCTGACTCTGTATGAGGTGTAGCTATACTAGGTACATTTAGATGTAAAACGGTGCACAGAAATGTTTATTTGAGCTGGAAATTACATTTTGTGGCATTTTTAACATTGTTGATAATATCAGACTCTGTATGAAGTTCTGGCCACACTAGTTATAGTGGCATGGAAAACAGTGCAAAGGAGCATTTAGTTGAGCACAGGAGTGTTTATTTTAGCTGTGTAGTATCCTCTCACGAGGCACCAGTAATGTAGGGTTTGTGCATTTACTGGGACAATTCTTAATTGTAGCAGTAAGTCACAAAATGATTCTTTTCATGGTCTAAGAATCCGGCCTTGCGGGATAATTCAAACAACGCACATACACGGGTACTAATACATGAGATACATTTATTAATAAATAAAAGGTGCATATAAACATAACAGATCTTATCATGAAGGTTAGCAGAATACAACAGGTATATATTCATTCATGAAGAGTTACCAATACCAAGAGGACATACATTCAGTATATAATTCATTTAGACCGTTTCGTAAATGAACTTGGTTACAACTTCTACACTAGATACTCAAAACAAGTACATCACTCATAGGAATTAAATTTATATAAACTCTGGTTTGGATAACAATTGAATTCTCGAGCAGTAATGCAGAATGTTGAATACTCATCCAATCTGTGTGGATTCAGATCTCCTGCACGCACAAAGGAGCAGTGGCAGCTTTGTTGCTGTGTCCCATCGGCGCTCTCTGGCTCGGTGCCAGGCAGTGCTGTGCAGCTTGCGATGTGGTGGAAGAGATTCCTGCGTCGATGCGCTGTTAAAGCTCTCTGAAAACCAGCTAGTTAGTGTTGGCTGAAACTAGCAAGCATTTGTGCACAAGAGAAAAGTGACTGCGGGTCCCAGCAGGCCAGGAAAAGGACCGGTTCGTTCCTGATGAAGCGCTAGTCCTGAATACTGATTCAGCTGTCCACAGTTCCGACCTGTCCACGAGGCTTGCTGCTGATGCTAACCTCGGGTGGATCCTTTGGGTACAAGCTGGCAACCTCCGCTCTCCGCTGGCACCATCTAGAGATAGTGGTATGTAAAACAGAGCTGAAAATGACGTTTTGTGGCATTCTGCACATTGTCGATAATATCTGACTCAATATGAAGGTGTAGCCACACTTAGTACATTTGGATGTATATATTGGATGTCGTATATATTACCAAAAATGTGCAGACTTTTCAGCTCAAATAAATGCTCTTTTGCACTGTTTTAGAGCGACAACTAGATGCTGCCTGAACTTCTTACAGAGTCAAATATTATCGACAATGTGCAGAATGCCACAAAACGTCTTTTTTAGCTCAAATAAATGCTCCTGTGCACCGTTTTACATACCACTATCTCTAGATGGTGCCAGAACTTCATACAGAGTCTGATATTATCAACAATGTTAAAAATGCCATAAAACGTCATTTCCAGCTCACATAAACACTCCTGTGCACCGTTTTACATCTAAATGTACTTAATATGGCTACACCTTCATACAGAATCAGATATTATTGTAGCGCATTCACCCTGGGCAGAGGCCGATGAGCGCCCAGCTGGGGTACGCGGTGAGGGGCAGGACAGGAGTGGAAGTGGTCAGGGTGGGGTTTAGGAAGGCCGCTGACCAGTGCAGCTGTCCCACAGTGAAGGGGGTGCACCCCTGGGTGTTACTCTTTCTCTTTTCTCTCTCTTGCTCTCTCTCGGGCGCGGGCAGTGTGGTGGCTCGTGCTGTTGGCGGGCTGCGTGTCTGTCTCTCTCTGGAGGGCGCAGGAGAGCTGCACTGGCTCTGGCTGAACAGGCTGATGCCGTGTTTGAGGAGACTGGTGGGCACCAACGGAGGGGCACTCCCTGCCGGGCAGTGGAGGCGGCGCACAGGGAATCAGATGGGGAGGAGGAGACGGCCAGCTGGCGACGTCGAGGGATCGACGACGGCGGGTCATCTGCCACTTCTGTGGGGAGAGGGGGCACATCGCCTGGGAGTGTTAGGCGCCGGAGCCCCGGGGACTCTGGAGACCGTCGGGAAACGGGAGTGGGACGGCCTAAAGGGGGGAAGACCGGCCTTGACCAACGCTGCCTCCGCTCCGGAAAGCCAGAGGGAGCGCTTCACCCCATCTGCTGCTGTGGGAAGGGATGGCCACAGCCTGGGCTTATTTCTTCCCTGTTTCATCAAGGGCAGACCCTGCCAGGCCCTCATCGACACCGAGGTCCTCCGCAAGGGGGCGTTCACTGTGCGGTTTGGGGCTGCGAGGGTGAAACACCCCTTCTACCTCGCCCCAATCCGCGAGGACTGTATCCTGGGGTTGGACTGGTTGCAGCAGGTGGATGGTTGCCTTGACTTGGGCCTTGAGAGTTGGTGGGGCAGGGGGAACGAATCTGTCTCGCGGAAGGCGGGGTGGGAGGTGTCCGGGGCGCACGGGCTGACCGGAGCGGGAAGTGGAGGCGGCAGCAGTGGGGGTTGCCAGGGCCTGTCGGAGCCGCGGGTGTCGAGGCGAGCATGCCAGAGCTGACTCCCGGGCCGCCTGGTCGGGTGCTCGATGGGGCGGCTGCTGGGGGGAATGCGGGGACCAAGCGCAACGGTGAGATAGGGCGTGCTGTGGGGGAGCTGTTGCGGCATACCTTAAGGCCAGCACGGGCAGCTGCGGTCTCTCCTTGCCGAGAACGAGGACCTGTTCGCGGCAAGGGACAAGGACTGCACCCGCACGGCTCTCACACAGCACGGGATTGACACTGGGAATGCGTGGCCCATTCGCGTTCCGCCCCAGCA